ATATCATTTCTTCTATTAATTCTATACATTGTTTTTGGTCTATTGCAGATTTGTTTAGATATATCCATATAGCCATATTATCAGATAATATCATATTATAATAAAATTGCTATTCTGCAACTACATCGCTGTATAATTTTCTCAAAAATAATTCGAATAAAACTGATATGTAACTAAAGCTTGAAAACCTACGATGAAATAAAGACCAGAAAACGATAAATTCGAAACACGGGCACAAGTTTGCAGGTGCAGGTACTTTATTTAGCACATTTCAAATTTGAAAGTCGACGTTTTGCTCTTCGGTCCGGGCGTTTGTCAACTGCTACACAGACCATATAATTATGTAGTATGATAGCTTGCGATGTCGAATTTTTCAATTCTGTCTTAGATAGACAATGCTCAAGGGACTAACTGATTAAATTTTTGCCAATACTCATGTAAATTCAACACTTCTATTACTAGACTGAGAGAGACCCAACATCTATTCACCTTCCCATGCATGTACATAACCACCATGAGTAAATAAAGTTTTTATAATTATTCTGTTGCACAAATCTAATCCCGTGATATTTTAATGCCATCTGTGAATGAAGTCAAACCGGGGTTGCCTTTTCTGGAAATATTTGTAGGTACGCACTTATTCGTTCCTATGCTGAACGAAAGAAAAACGCACATTTGCATAGCTAAACCCGAAAAATGGACCCCGGTGGCTTGTCGTAACTAAGATTTTCGTTTGAAAGAAAACGTCTGATACCTACGTAACAAACTTGTTAGCCATTGCAATTTGATGTGAATATGCTGCGAACGTTAATGGCCGTGCTAAAAATACATACAAAACTTGTCTGTATGCGTGTTTTTTTTGTTTCCTTCTTTAGCTCAAAGGTAATTAACATTTCAATACGGACCTAAGATGCACAAAATTGTCCTTTTTATTTTTAGAAACGTCTATAACCAGTTTGCATTCTACATGCTCGATCACTAAGCAAAAAACTATAAATATCTGTTTTATGCGCGGTAGAATCTGAACAGTTTTTACGGTAATGAGTTAATGACCAGTCACTTTATATTCCATTTATAAAGTTTCCGACTAGCCTACGATTTAAAAACAAATGAGGACTGAGGAGATACACTGGTTAACAAGCATTGATTTTCCTGGTAGCATGGTTTTTTTTACTACTTGTTGCGTTTGATATATCTACACAGTTATATCATTAAAAGGATTTAGAAGTGTAATTTAGCATTAAAAGCTGAAGCGGCACGGGCTCAAGGGTACGTTTGAAACTGAAGCGTAAACGTATGAAATAAATATTTTGAGGGTAAATTCGTCTCTTTCACTAGTTCTGTGCTGATTCAAACGGTTAAGATTTTTCTGTGTTCCACACTCAACATCAAAAAGATCTATTGCTAATAATTAATACAAAGGGGTTCGGATCTCCGGATACGGCTAACAAGCAAAATAAATCATTTACCTAATTTTTGAGGTGAACGAAATGAGTCTTTCACGATCATTCTGTTTGTCTGGTCGTGTCTCGGTTCGTGTAGCATTTATGTATGTTCCTCCAGATCTCAAAAACTGTAGGAATTTTTTTATACCTTTTTATTATACAGGGTCGCTATTAAAGATGGTACGGAAGCTGTCCCGCTCAAACCGTTTGAGATATAACCATGAAATTAAAACGCTTCCATTTGAAATTATTTTACATATTTTGAGGTTAAAAATAATTTTTTTATATACAGTTTGAGTGCGAACGCCGTCTTGAATTTTAGAAAGCTCATTTTTTCTCTTTCTTACTACCTTAATCATGAATGGTGTTAAATTAGAAAATAACGGAGAAAAAACTCTGTCGAATGGTCCATATTTCACAAAATTATAAGTAAGTATTATTTCTCGCATAATACAATATGTAGTTGTAAGGAAACAAACCAGATTGTACTGTGTTTTTGTCACTTATTAAACACCTGTCCATTGTAATTTAACGGTATCTAAAAGTAAAGTGCATAGCATTTATTTTTTTAAGGCACCCGAAATGTAAGTGCACACAGCAATATCCTCATGGTAAAATTGCAAAATTAAACACATATCTGTTGATTTTAATGCTAAATATGCATGCATTTTTTAAATATGTGGTAACATGCATTTATGCACTATAAAATCGGTATACATAAGTCAGAAGATTTAACTGTGTAGTTGTATACTAAACTCATGCATTTGCATACAAATTTTAATAATGTGCGACACACAACGTATCTTATTAATTATATCATTATTGCGATCACGTAATATGTAACGTCAAATTACAAGCGAAACCAAGGGATAATTAATGATGGTCATAAACATTCAAACACTATCAACAAGTGAGTAATAACGTAATGCGGTCACATGTTTAGAATCAATAGCATGAAAATTGCAGAAGGATACCTATTTGATGCGGAAGCGGGAAGACTATTACAGATTTATCATCGAATAAGTGGCGAAAGCACTTTATTTATGGTCTGAAGTTTACTCTTTAGATTTACTAATTCCTACTTTATATAATTTCTGGCACATTCTCGGTGATGGTAATGTCTTTGATAATTTTTTTCTAATTAAATAATATAATATGTAGTCATAAAAATAAAAACTATTGATTATAGGTTCGTAGCATGTGGTAGCATTAATACCGATTTCCCCTATTTATTTGTTATATGACATGGACTTCTGTTTAGAACTATACAACGGAGAAAATCCTCGTAAAGGAATCGCTTCGTCTAGGATTACAGTATCCCGATTCCCGAAGGCCGCCGTGGATACTTGGTCGCTCTAGTTTTGTGTCATTGACGTTGCTGCGAATAACCATATAATATACTATTTAGGTGTCAGAACTAAAAAGTGAATTACGTCACAACCGTCTGCACATTTTAACGACTAATCATAATAATGAACTAATATTAATGACTCCATTAATTTTTTATTGAACATTTCCGATGCGTTGTGTACATTCTCTAAAATGGAATGCGCATTGTGAGTTCTTTGTCTCCTACTTGTACGTTATAAGTTATCATAAAAAGTAATTTGTGAAATTCACCCGAGATTTTTACCATAGGAAAGGTGTTATTACCAATATGGGATGTCCCCAAGTAGGTAATCGTGTTTCATTCTTCCAAGTTCCAAGACCTCTGACTACTACTATACGTCAGAGGGGAACTGCGCAGGCTTGTGAGAACCTCTTTAGCCAGGGAACGGGAATGTAAAGATAGGTATTGCTAGGGATGGAAAATGAGACCTGCATTTTGTGAGAAACCGCATCATTGTAATGGATGATGAAATAAGTATATTATATACCAAGTGACTAAAATCTAGAGTGCGTGTTTTAACCCCCAGGGTGCCGATCACCCAAGGGATTAGGACGCACTTTAGTCCTGTGGTATATACACTATTTTTTGTATTCTTGCTCTTGCTCCAGCAATTTCAATGTTAAATTTGAAAGAAAAAAATGTGCCAAATTCTTGACAAAAAAGCTTCCTAACTCAGACCAAAAAGCGCTCTTCATCGTTTAACGTCTTCGCAAATTTTTTTTACTTATTATTTTTGATCTAGTCAGTAAACACAAAGTTCCTTATTCAATTCAATCGACACGTAAGAATAAGGTTGACATTTTACAATTCTTTAAGAGGGTACGACACCTTCGTTAAGTTGTTCATGACAATGGCGAAGAAAATTTATTAGTTTTTTAACTTTGACCTTTTTTTCTCAGTTTTTTTGTAATAAAACCTGGCACATTTTTTATAGGTTGTACACAGAACATTCCATATTGCGTCATATTAAGCAATTTTCAAGAGCGGGTAAAGTGGGTTCCAAATGTTGCTTCCCTCTGGACATAAACGAAACTAACAAACATAAACTTCAACAACGTTACATCCAATAATTATCACAAAACTTGTGCACGTTTTTAATTTTCCTCTACTTCCAGGTATGTACTTCAAAATAAACAACGATCCGGAATTTTTAATTGCTATAAGAACGAAAGATTCCAATCTCGATAAAAATTCGCATCTTAAAGCTTGTTCTGTGCAATAGCGCCTTTTTGTTAATTATTCCCCTCCCCTGACATTTTTTATAAGAAAGTTACGGTTATTACGTCGTCGGAATATGCTCTCGTGCTTCAGCTCGTGTGGCGCAATTCAGTTGAAGCTGGACTGCGGTGCTAAGGGTCCCTGGTTCGAATCGAGGTTTGGGCATGGATATTTGTGTCGGAGCCTCAAACAAGAAAAAGTTCTCGCATCGTTAACAGAGGCGAATGCTGTAAGGGGCGGAAGTAACTTTCTCGCATGGTTTTTATTCTTGCTCGAGTAAAGAAAATTGTAATTCTCTTGTACGCGCGTCTTGAATTACTTTGAATAAGGCGGATTAAAAAATAGGGTTACAGCACATGAACTTCGTCGTCATTCGCTTATAAAACCTTGAATGCTCTCGGTAACAGAGGAAAAAAGGGTACTATTTATTATTACTACTTACTTTAAGTTTGCTCTCTGCAAGTGAACAGTGCTTTGTTTACGGAGGCCAAGCAATAAGTTTTGAAAAAAATTTGCGTCTAAAAGGGTTCGAAAAAAATGGTGGGAGAGAACGTTTATGACGCGCGATTTAAAAACGCGGTCCAGTTACACAGATTCAGTGTACGAGGCTCTAGGGTTTCTTTATGAAAGCGCGTGGTTCTTTATTATTTTTAATAATTGTGAAGACGTACGAAGCAGCCCGGTTTTTTTTGCACGTCGAGCAATTGATTAAAAATTCCAAGGACTTTTTGCTTTAACTGCGCTTCGGGCGATGAGATTCGTCTTGAACATTTCATTGAATCAACGGCATACTTTATTTATTCCGCTTTAAAAATTCTACTACAAAACATAATTTATTCATCGGTAATTGAACCGTCGGTCGCATCACATAGGAATAAACAGATAAGTACAATACGGTTTTCAATTAAAGTGTTGCATTGGAGAAAAGGAGAGAAAGAAAACCCATGTTTAATGTAGCTCAATGATCCTTTTTATTGAATTTTATATTCTTTTATATTTCATATATGGGCCAATGGAACAATAAAAATATACAAATGGAGGCCCATAAATACATACAGGTAATTATATGTTTGATTGAAAATAGATATTTTCTTAAATATAATCTAATATGTTAACTTTAATAATTATGGAAGTGAAAGATTATAGCAGAATCCTGGAGATCCAGAGTCAAGACATTCTGTATTAAATTCAGTCGGTCGCCTATGCGACGTAGTAAGTACTTACAGGCGAGATAATGGAGGTCACCAAGTAGTCTATATTAGCTTTTTTTTGTAATTTTGGAGACTTCTAAGTCTATTGTAGTAAATAATAATATAAAAAAGGATAACTAAATAAAACTTAGTAATAACCACTTAGTGTTTCTCCAAGTACTACAATATAAAATATCTAAAAATATGAATCCAAATCAGATTCTAGATCACGTATTAATCACGAAAAGTTGCATTTATTCTGAAACATATTTTGTTTTTATGGTAATCACACAAACTTTTGAACGCTGTGGAACATAATACTTGCGAATTCGCCAAAAAGGTTATTATGCATATTGATAGGATTCATGTGCAGCCTAAAGTACGCAACTCTGGGATTAATACAATGTTAAAACGTACAAAAACAATTTAAAAACACGAGCCGTAAGACTGATCAGATTGTTTCACTTGAACGGAATAAAATTTGTCCATATTTATATTGCAGTATATTTCAGTGAAAACGCCACTAAAATGTATCACATGTGCGTGGTTGTAACAGGAAACGGCATTAAATATCTTTAAACTGCACATGATTTTGCCAAAATTTCTATGATTTACTGAAAACACAACCAAAATATATAACATGCTCACAGCCACACACCAACGATGCGCCATAAGATTTGACACATTCACCCTTAGAACGTAAATCAAACCGTTTCTCGCTGTATCTTCGGAATGAATTTGATTACATTAGTAGAACTAACATTTTTATGGTAGCTCACTCAATATTTTTCACATCGTTTATGCGAAGTAATCGCTTAGTTTAATCGAACGTTTTAAACGATAAAAACTACTATACAGCTACAGAGTCTACTATAATAGACGCAATGCTGACATAATATTCGCACATTAACGCTTTGTACGACACTTTTTCACATATCACGATGAGCAAGACATCCATGAATTGCAAGTGCAAGGATAGCAAGGTGTTGGTATTACCGATGCAACTGGAGCATAGATATAACCATTTGCATACACCAGAGTACCTGGCGGAGGTTGATGCGACATTAAACGCTGTTGATCTTGACAAAGAACTTGCCACGCAAGACCTTCGATGAGTGCTAAAGTCTGCCGTCGCTCGTGGCCCATTAAGCATACGGTGGATTCTTCGACCACGTCGTGAAGTAACATCAGGTACTGGTGTTTGAGAGATTCCTCCTCTGGTCCCACAAAATGATTCCACAAATAATTTTCCAATTTGGCACGTTGCTGCGCGATATCCGGAAAATCTATGAAAAATCGAGAGCACATGTATCTTTGCAATGTTTTAATACAATCTGGGAGCGCGGCTTTGTAATTTTTAACTAATAAATTGCAATATTTCAATAATCCGCCACCTCGGATTTCTTCTGGATTTCTGGTCGAGATGAGTTTCTTCTGAAGGTGATATAGCGCTTCTTGAAAATCCCCGTATACAGATTCACCGACGACTGTCGGATAGAAGTTTTCACTAATGGGTAACTTACTACAATCGTAAAACAAAAGCAAAGAGTCTAAAACAATTTGAAATGAGTCTACCGAAAATTCGAACTGTCTTCGCATCGTGTCGACAAATTTGAGTTCGACGTTTTTGTGACCGCGCGAGTTTCCCAAAGAGATTAGAGACCAGCGATCTCCGTCGTTGTACACTTTGACCATTTTACTGACGTAGGCCTCCTTCAGGCTACACGTCGAAATACGCTTACGATTTACACCGTCGGGTAGTAAATCGAACAACGAACTCAAAACGGCCGATTTGACGCGGTCGTAATTTCTTCCGCTCGACAATTCCACTCCAAATATCAGATCGAGGTCATTGTAAGGTTGTGACTCGGTCGCTAGGACATGTGAAGCTGCACCACCGTTGAGGCGAATATCTCGTACACGCATTCCAGCGCCTCCCGATGACGTCTCTGCTTCCAGTTTTCCACGTACTACCGTCACTAGGTCTCGAAGTTTCACTTCCAAAGTGGGAAAGTTGCCTCTGCCGTGAATGCACACTACTTCGTCCATTACGTCGTTTAAGCGACGAACCTGTTCATAACTAAGTACTGCCAGTCGTTGTTGAGTCTCTGAGTGGTTGTCGTTATTGTTGATTGGATGGTTTGGTGTATATGCGTCGATGGAAATTCGCCTTCGATGTTCGTCTACAGTTGCCCCCATTATTCCACACTGAAACAAAATAATGCGCGTTAGACTCGGAAATTCAGATAAATTAGAACACACCATGTATATGACATTAAATTAATGCAGGGGTTCACAATCTGATTTAATTAAACGGAACTACTTGACATATCACCCCCAATTTCGTTATCTCGCGTACGTTAATTGCTTTACGTGTGCAGGTCGTGCGTCATCGCCCAATGTGCTCTAAAGGACTACTAGGGTTTCGTACGAAGGAGCGATATTCAACAAGCGCAATGGGCTCTATCTCGTGGACCGTTAGTTGCTAGGTAACAAGAATGGTGTAGAGAAAGATGTTGAGAGGGGTGGCGCCGCGGATTGTAATGACGTCATGTTGTAAAGCGTGGGCGGCATGAATGACTGTATAGACGAAGGGTGCAGGATGAACGACGCCTACGACATAGGAACCCCGGGCCCGAATACAAAGTATCGATCACTGAAATGCACTAAAACCCAGGACCTACGCAAAAGCTCGCTTACCACAGCATGTTAAATGTGTATACCTACGTCAACGTTTCGAAATCATTCCAAACAAATAGTAAAGTAGGAAAGTGTCCGCGGTATTCATTACAGATTTTGAGAGAAATACCTATGTTCGATGAGGTTCAGTGCTTTTCATAAACAGCAGTATATCCGATTATTTGCATTACAACATAAGATCGTATGGCATGCAAAGCCATTTATAGAGATAATGAGTATAATTGGATTAATTAACGTGTACACATTCAATGACTTATTTTTAAAGTAATGCAAACCCGATGTTGATATGGCAAAGAAGGAAGTCAATTGGGAAATTTTTATAATTAATTAATCTCAAAATCTAGAACAAAGAATGTATGTATGTATACAACTAGGTGCAAGTTGAGTAAAATAATTGCACAATTTAAACGAAATAAAAACCAACTTTCGACGTAGGAATGCTAGGAAGTAATAGTAAAATAGCAATCATGGTAATAATATAAAACTTGCCTGTGAAGGTTTTTTGGCTTCAAACTATTACACTACAATTACTATGAGAGCACGCTACAACACTCCATTGCACGTTTAATCGATTCAAAGATATGCGGCGTGCATATTCATAAGCGATACATCCTATCGCATTCATGATTTAAACATCAGGTTACATAAAGCGGAGGCGAAGTTTACGTACTCAACTTACATTCATGTACTTTCATAACATCAAATAATTCTGATATCATCCTAACATAACAAGACCTGCAAATAACAAACGGATGTGGTATTTTGATAATAAGTAAACTGTTTTGTATGTTAGAATTGATAACAAAACCTAACCTGTCGATAAACGTAATTGAATAGAAGACAAATATTACTGAATATTACTAAAGGAACCTCTCAAATCTACATGAATCGAATTAGATTTGCTGAGCCTTAGCGAAAGCGCATTGAGGGAACACCTCACAAATCTGTAATATTCAAATCTAATCAACTTGATGTACGTATTATAATATTCAATTTAATTTGCAACAAAACAGCACAAGTGGGCGTTGTATTGAGTTAAAGATTCTGACGTCCCAGATTGTTTCTGTGCGCCGATCTTGTTACTACGAACGTGAGTTTAGTATCAACATTGATTAACGTCCGAAAGTGAAATTATCTGATGCGCCATATTGGGTAATTAAATGACTACAAAATGACGAGTTTACTTATCCTACACTCGTCCAATTACTGAATTAACTGCTTCATATAATTAGTCGTTTGAAATTAGGAAATACGATCATCACATGAGTCTAGTTCGTCAGACTATTAACTCTTTCATAACTTTTCTGATAATGTGCCAAAACGTATTGTGCGAAACTAAAGTTCGCGACCTGTCTGGTTCGTCTTAAGGTTTGGATTTAGAGAATATAGGCAACTGGTGATGCACATGTAATTCAATGGGGCGTGCATTGCCTCAGAACTTCATTCACCATTCCATAAGCAAGGGGTGTATATGATCGGAAAAATATGCATTAGGTAGATAGATGTACAGAGCATAGTTTCCATACAATATAAACTGATATTTTGTCCATTAATATATGTTTAAAAAATCTAGAAAACATGCGTCAAAAGAGTTCATAGTTTAGGAATTAATTGCAAAAATTAGGGAGCATTTTAAGCAATACGAATGTATGGGATCGGTAGCGTGAATACTTATCTATATTTTGGCAATTTATGTGAAGCTCAAAAGTTTTCATAAAAAAAGTGGTGAATGAAGTTCTGAAAAATGGGCATGTAAACTGGAGAAATGGAAATAAACTACGCAGCTGTGACTAATATCGCGGTCAACAGTGTAGCTTCTTTCTCACAGAGGGTGCCACCAAGAGTTTCATGAAGTCGGTAAAAAATACGATAAAGATATGAAATAGGTACCTAAGCGCTTTTATCTTGCGATGGAGTTGTTCTTACTTTTTAACTAGGCTAGTACCGTTGAGCTAGTACTGTGTAATGGGGATAACAAAAGACAAAAATTTACGAGCAAAAAAAAACTAGCAGGCTATGTAAGTTGCCTATGTTAAATCATTTAGCGATTCTCTTTCAAGGTTAAACAGAGCCTGCTTGTAAAAGAATTTGCTGACATCAAGAAAAAGATCGTTCACTTGCTTCGAAATTTATTTGGTTTCTCTTTCCTATTAATTGCAAAAGGTAACCTCCTCTACCTATCGTTTTATGAAATAAATAATAGAAATGGGGATAGGTAACATTCCTTTATAACAAATATCAAAATTTTACGTTATTTTTAGAACAAAGGGCTGTTGTATATTGTTGTTGATGTCTGGCAAGTTGCGACCTTGTGTGGGTGTTTATTTGTAATGCGATTTGTTTGACCGTCTTCCTTATTCTTTATCTTTGCTTATTGCACTTTGTAGATTAAAATACCGTAATTTATAATCCATACCTTGTTGCAAATTAAATTTTTTGAACTTCAATAGTACCATTGAATAAAGCTCTTTATTCAATGATAGTACCTATTACATATTATTAGTATTAGTTTAGTCAGTTTAGTGTAATGTGTAATAATTGACCTATACAGGGTGATTCAAATTCAAAGGCCACCATGGGGATCTCGGGAACTGTAAGAGATAGGTAGTTTACATTTGACAAAGTTACCCTTGATGGTAACATCATCTAGTTTTAATAAGAAATAACGTTAATTCGTAAAAACGCAAGAAACTACTTACGTACGTTACTTAAGACAAAGGCAAAAAAGATGTTTTACAAGCATTAAAAACATTGATGTATACATTTTTGAAATCAGAAAAAAATTCTCTATCAAATCACACAAAAAGTAAAAATTACTTCCATAAGAAACAAAGTTGATTATAGTTAACCGGAGACGAAACGTCAAACTTCAAATTTAAAAGTAGCATCTTGTAGAGGGAAAAAAGTGGCCATAATAATGTGTCATTTATTATTAACTTCAGTAAAAAACAAAAACGATTTTCAAAATCTCGTTTTTTCCGGATATCTCCGAAAGTAGTCAGAATTTCAGTTTCAAAACTGTTTTTGTTAAGCATCAAAATACACAACTTTGCCAAATTTACCACCTACCTATCTCTTACATTTCCCGAGATTCCCATGGTGGCCCTCGAATTCGAATCAGCCTGTCAATTACTAATTTACAAAAGACCATCCCTCGAATGTAAGACATTGGGAACAAATGTATATTTAGGTATAAACGGCTAAAAAATTAAAAAAAAAATCGGTATACCGTATGTCCCCGGATTGACTTTACAAGAAGAAAAACTTTTACTATACTTTTTGACAAAAATCCATTCTCCATAAAAGCTTTTGCTTGTTCTAATTCGAAATGTCCCTACCGTTTCAGAGAAAAATATAAAAAAAACGAAAATATGGTTGAACTCCTAAAAGTCAAAACGCGTCTTTACTGTAATAACATTTCGTTAGTTACAAAGTCTTCGTTACCTGTTATTTGAATAGGCACTAGGATCGTTATAACTTATAAGTATAACAAACACACTTCGTAATGACATTGAATTTCATTAAGTGAAGGAATCAAGAGTTTTACTGAGGGTCCTCCCAAACAAAAAGCCCCTGTCGCCACTTGTGAACCAATTTTACGACCTTAATTTTGAAAGTCCCCCATGCCAATAATTACGCGATTTTTACTTCATAAGTTACGTTACAAGCGTTTCATTATTCTCCTCAAGTTATGTGCGGTAGAGAGCTAATTATAATTTTGTTAACCTAGCAGTCTGTAAGGAGCCGTGAACGACCTTGCGTTTGTGTTTTGTATCTTCTTGTCGTGTGGTTATGCAAATCAAATTGCATTTTTTTTAAAGCACCCTCTGTGTTGTTTGGGGCCCACTTAAAGAGAGTATAATTATTTAAATATTTGTATAGAAAACTGCTGTAGTTACGCTATTCATTATTAGGTACCAGCACATTCTAACGAAAAAAACTTTGTCCTTTACTATGGGTACTTCTCTTTTCAGGCAATCCCAGCCTTAATATAGTAAAAATTACCATACGTTGACGTTTCCGCATTTTTAGACAGTTTGGCTTCAACAGGACTACCTATTCGTAAAATTTGACATGCTAATCCCTATTCTGTTTTGATTTTATATCTAGATATTCGAGAAGCTGCGATTAATGGGGATTATATACGACATGACAGAACTGACAGGAACGCCACTGTAGTTACAGTCGTTTTAGATGGATTGAAAGTAAATATCTGTCGATGACAAATAATCGAGTTAAATCTGCTGATTAACATATCACAACATGCATCTCTGAAAATGATCGTTAATGTTGTAAATTTATTAAAAACTATTGATTACGCCAAAGCGTTCAGCTCAGTTATTTGCTCCGGATGCGTACGCCGCCTTGATCTGAGTGCTAGTTACGGCATAAATTTAAATGAGCGTCTATGTATAGATTTACGTATACATATAGTAATAAATGTGCAAATGTATAGTGGAGTGAGTTGGTAGAGACGCCTTGGCTGAAACCCCGCCCACTCAAAAATA